TTGCACTCACAATTTGTTAGAATAAGTAGCGCTCCAAAGGTTCAGGAACCAAACAGAACTCCGAAAGGTAGATAGGCATATAAAATATTATTTATTGGGTTAACAGTAATAAAATATCGGTCTTACCATCTCATCCCAACATTTGGACTTCCTTAGAGACCAAATAATAAATAAAAGCAATAACAATTCAAATGCTCCCAAAAGCAGCCTAATCCCACCCTCCCATGAGTCCCCTTAAATAGGGCTAGTCCCTCAAGTTCATTGGTGCTCCAGTGGGTGTCTTCCTTTCCTTCTGATCCAATGGGGCTGAAGATGAGGTTATGAATGGAAAGGATTGGTCACTATTGATCACCAAGAGTATATCATCCAATCCACACAGATTACTATCTTGTGTGTTTCAAAATTAGAGAGGGAAACTCCACTGATATGGTTCATTTGGATGATGCATATCAGAGGCCCAAAGCCAGTATATACAACAGAGGGGATTGTCTTGTCCCTTTGCTGAAGTTGAAAGATTCTATTACACAGCTGGATAAAAGGACTGCCACTGTCAGGTTTGAGTAGAAAGCCATTGTGGTCTCAATAAACCCCTCAGGTATAACATATTTCTTAGTACTGAGGGCCTAGTAATTGCAATGAAAAGACTCACTTTGGGAGACTGTGAATCCTATCAATAACTACCTTACTGGCAGGTATGTCTGGTACTAGGCAAAAACATTGTAGTTTGAAGAAGTCCTCTAGTTCTGCCGCATATACAGAATTGGGTATGCCTCTAATTCTGATATTGTTGTGGTGAGATCTATCCTCTACATCAGCAAGCTTCAGTTGGAGGATCGCCCCCTCTTCAGTCAGATGGTTGTCCGCAAGTAAGTTATGACAGTTTATAATATCATCTAATTTCATCTCTATTTTGTACGTACGGTCAACTAGATCATTGATGGTTTAAGTAAGTTCACCAAGCTTTGGAATTTAGTAAAGCTTTTGCTGAGAGGGACAGACCGGCCATGTGCTCCTTGTCATGCAGTGGGAAAGAGGAATAAAAGCTAACACCACTGCATGGTGCAGAATTCTGGGCTTCTGGGATGAGTTAATTTTGTAGCTTTGCCTGAGACATTTTCCACTGATTACCTGCCATCTTTCTCCTGATCTTGTGGTTTTATCTGCTATGGAAGCTATGTGATGTGCTAACTCGACCAGAGCTACAGAGTTATGCTGCCATCTGCCAAACTTCTTTAATTGTGAAAAACAAAATAAATATGAGACTAAAACTTAAATGCACTGCAACAGCACAGATAATCTGGTCTTGCAATCAAGACTGTGCTGTTATGAAATCTATCTTTCTCCTTCTCCAACTGGGAGACTTTTCTTAACCAATCACAAACTGCCCTTTGTCCCACCCCATTGTTTCTCCGTGTTGCCCAGATCACTTTGAAAATTTTGCTGGGACCTTTACCCCTGCCATTATTTTGAATGGTTGTATGGGTATTTTATTCAAGCTCTCAGCTTTTCAAGTGAGCTCTTTCAAAGCCTGGGTGTCATTCAATAGCTCTCCTATAGACACCCTGCTCTGTGAAGGTTTGTCTCATTCTGGTCACCTGGTGTGGAAGTGATACACTCAGTAACTACAGCTGAGTTTATGAATATATCTCTAAATTGGTTATATGCAACTTAATTTTGCCATTTGAATTGCAGTTCTCTGCAGTTTAATAAATGACATCCTTTGCCTGCTTAGTGCTGCTATAGGATTCCTTGTTTGTAAACCTAATCAAAGATATGTTCTTTGAAAGCTGTGAAATTTTTCCAATTTAATTTATGACACAATGTCATCTCAAAAGATAAATCACTCACTTTGACTCAAAGACAAAATTCCTGATGATTGTTAATTGGTTATTTTTGCTTGTTTGAGTAAATGTCTCTGTTTGTGGTTGAATAGCCCATATGGTAATCTAAAATGTGAATCCATGTTTCCATGTTTGATTTCACAAGTATGTATGAATACTTCTGTCATAAAATTCTTAATAAATGCTGCTGGGATTGCTTTAACTAACCATAATGTATAGCAGAATTATAGGAATTATAGTTTTCTTAGTTGTTTTTTTTTTCAGAATTATTTTATGTTTGTGTTTGCTGAATCAAATTACTGAATAAAAACAGGAAACAGATGAAAGACAAAACAAAACAAAATTCTATTGATTAACAACAAACACTCTTAAACTCAAGGTCAGTCAGGTCAGGCCAGGTCAGTATGAAAGGGATCTGGACAGGCAAATCTGAGCATTCATTTTTGTCAAATACTTGGACAATAACTTTCCATTACTTTAGTGCTTGTATTGGTCCCAAGACTATAAAGGTGAATGAAATAAGGCAAGCCCACAGTGAAAACATGCAGTGCATGTAATTCATTCATTCAATTCATTATTGCAGTATGGAATATTGTCCTTTAATGTAATTTGTGTAGTGCATAGATGAACTGGCTGCCTGGTAGAGGTGGTATTGTCAATGTCAAATGGTGTTAATTTGATTATATGGGGAGTCAGAAGGTTTATAGCCTTAATTTCTCTTTGAAGCTGGGACCCCCACAGAGGTCAGATGACAGAAGGGGTAATGTAAATTGCATATTAATGTTAAAGGGGTCAGATAGGGTGATCAATCAAAGGCTCTGCAATGTCTGAGATTCTACACTTGAAAACCCTGCATGTCTGGTCCCAATTTAAACTAGTTGGCTTCAGCCATATGGCCTGTACCTTTTAATTGATAAGGTAATTTCTTTGATATGTTAATGATCATTAGCCTTGTGTTCAAATATCATATCCAAAAGAAACACTAATATGTGCCCACAAAATAATAATTAAGCCTCATTTGTATTATATTTAAAATGGGACAAGCACCATCTTCTAAACATGCCCAAACATGATTGGTTTAACTTAACCATATGAGAAGGGATCGGGATGTCTGCTATATTGGGTCACAAGTTGAGTCTGGGAGTGTGAGAGAATTGTACCCCACCCCACAGCCATGTCTCTGTAAGTGCAAGCAATGTGAGTGAGTTTGAGATGAAAAAGTCATGTATGGTTGTTGATTTTAAATTACTGCAGATGGAGTTGCCATTCCAGAGTGCACAATTAATTTTGGTAAGTGAGGGTAAAGGGAAGGGTATTGTGATGAGGTTTGTGGGGTTTCTGGTTGTCTTGTGTGTGTAGAGAAGGTGAAGGGCCCTGGATTGGGAGAGACATCACCAGCTAGAAGTAGAAGGAAAGAAAGTGACAGGAGGTGTGAATGGGTTTTGTATGCATGGGGTCTAGGATGAGATCGATTGCGGGTTGGAGTGAGAGAGTAGAAAAATGAGTGTAAGGCATGAGATGGGGGGGTGTAGCAGAGAAGGGGATGGGGGATGAGTGAAGTGGGTGTAAGGAGAGATTTTTATACTAAGAGAGACTGAGGAAATAAAGAGGAGGAGAAAACAGATCATTGCTAAACTGTGAAAAATAAAAAAATGGAGATAATTTGAATATCAAGAGCAGGTGAAGGTGTTTTATGGGTTAAGAAAGTGCAGGAGTGTACTAATAAGAGGCAGGTTTTTTTTTTAACCTAACTAAAATGTAGGTGTGACAGACAATCTAAAAATGTTATAATGAGCATGAGGTGGGATGGTGTGGGGAGGGGAGGGTGGGCCTCAGGCTTGCTCACTGAAGGAATGGGCTTGCAAAGTTGGGGAATCGGGCTGTTGAATAAAGAGATGTGAGGGTCAGAGAGCTTGCAATAAAGGTAAGGGAGGGGAAAATGTATCTAGGTACAGAGATAAAGAGATGGAAATTCAAATAAAAACAAACATATCAATAAAAAAGGGAGGGGTCATAGGTCAGTCACAAATCGGAGGGGAAATAGAGGAATGCATATAGGTGAATAAAACAATTACATACAGGGATAGCAAAACTACACTTTAGCATAACAGACAAGATATAAATACAAGAAAACAAGAAAATATACAATGTGCACAGGATATATAAAATAAAATAAAATAAATGTACAGGGTGGATAGGCTGTGTAAAACAAAATGGCTACAGTCATGTAAAACACCGTAATAACTTACTTAGGTAAAATTAGAACCAGCAACACACTGATCCACATCTCTGATGCTTGTTTTTGGAATAAGTAACACTAATTATTAGTTTGAAATACTTCTCACTGATGAATAATTAAGCCATCGCCTTATAACAATCAACTAAAATGACAATGACTTTTAATGTTTTAGCATAACTGGTCCTTATCCTGCTTTGCATAGACCAATTGAAATACATTTCAATGACCCCATGATTGCTCACTCTAGCCAGAAGAATTAATCAGCATTGCAATAACATTTAATGAGAAAGCCAAAGATTACATCTGTTGGAGCCAAGAAATCCATAGTAGCATGCAGGCTACATCAAGGCATTACATAGCAACAGCACACTCCTATAGTGGAAAGGGATAGTTTTGATTTTAATTAGGTCTTGGTTAACATGTCTTGAAACTAAATTAGCTCTATCAGGCACGTGGTTATGGCATTTAGCTGTTTCTAAATTTCTGGTGAAAGTTAAGAGGATCATGGAATGTAACTCAATTTTACTTATCTTTGGAACACAATTTTGTAACCCCCTTATTTCTTCGATAAAAGTTAAATAAATAAGTAATGTTAAACATCAAAATAAAATTGTGGTCTACAAAATGCATTTAATCACAAATCTGTTTAATTTTAAGATTTTTATAATTGAAAACTAATTTTTGTAATAAAACAATTTGTTACGCAATAAAGGAACATGAAAATCAAAAACAGAAGACACATGTATGAAGTAGAACTTTTTTTGTTGTTGTTGTTGTGTTTACCCCCAAAAGAAGAATAAACACATAAATCTCTTTAAATAAATCTCCTTCCTAACACCAAATCTGACTAATTCACCACACGAACACAGCAACAATGGCGAGCTAAAACAAACTCACAAGAAAAGGATCACACTCCAAACATGAACACTTCACCGCAACAACTGAAACTGAGTCACAACCACAAGACAACACCTACCCCCACACCCAAAAACACCACCAACAGCCAAGCAAGCAATGACCAACACACACAGCACAAACCCACGGGCTGCAAGAAGACTCACAAACGAAGTGCACCCCCCCAACCCCCTACCTGGCAACCTCGAAGAGAAGTGACACAATCCTACAACTTAACTACCCTGCCCAAACCAAAACACAACCACAAAGCGCTCAACAAACTCGACATAAAACCGATCAAGACGACTCATAGCCTGAATAACCACAAAAGGACACCACAATAGGGCACCCTACGACCCTCCCTTCTTCTTTCTGTACCCCACCCCACCCAGTAGACCAGAAAACAACTATGAAGAACAAACGATGAAGCAATTGTAACACAAGCGAATAACATAAAAACTAAGCACAAAAGACGTAACCACTTGCACTGATGTAAAGTATGCCTTAACTGACACATGTTTATGCTGTAATAACTAAACTACAAATGTTTAACCCCTGTTTTTATTTCTGTACCCTTTCCCCAAAATTCTTCAAAAACTCTTCAAAATAAAGAATTAATAATAAAAAATAAAAGAAATCTCCTTCCTGGCAGAGTTGTCCTGATAGCATTAGAGCTTTGATTGCATAGTAGACAAATTTAACCATCCACCTCTTATTTCAAATGATGGACAACAAAAAAATGAGACTCCCTGTCTGCTAAGACTACCTCAGGGTCTCATTTTCTATGCTTAAGCTACAATTTTGGAGCAAATTGAATGGAGAATTTACTAATCCAATATGGCATAGCTTTATGCCTTCACCTGCAGCCTCACAGATCTTCTAGATCTGTAACATTTAGCATGATTTGTCCTCCATGGAGAACATCGCTAAGATGTTGAATGCTTTGGACAAATTGATCCAATCAAAAATGATGTAACTCAGATCAGATCTCCAGAACTCCGGTGTAGCAGACTCCATCCCCCTGTATTCGGTTGTCCGTCTCCCAAAAGACTTGTGTGTGGTCCCTTGTTATGCCCCAGTGAACACTGACCTCCCCTGGTTGTTAACCACAAATTAATGGTGGCCATTTTGTCTCCCGAATGCAGGCAGCGGTACTTAGTCATCAAACGCCTGGAACTGTTTTCAGGCCTTGTGTTTCTGAGAACCCGGGCAAAGATGGTACCACTGCCTGTCCCACTTCCCGACCACCTAGACGAACAGCGGTCATGAGATATAATCTACCGAACAGGGTGAGTATTTGCTACATAGCAGTAAGGGTGAGCATTCATTGGTGTTCACACATAAACCCTTGAAAAGACGAATGGCCCGCTTTCCCAATTCTCTGGAACTGTTTTGGGCTATCACCTCATGGCCAGTCAGTCAAAACGTTCCTCGACAATAACTTTAGTTCTACCAAACCGATCTGAGCGCTTTTTGGATATGTGTGCTCAGATCAGGGCTTTTTGAGAATATTATTTTTGTGGGGTTCCTGTATTGTATCATTTATTTTTATGATGTTGTAAAATATGTGTGTAAGTTTCTGTTTTGAGAGATAATTTAATTATCCTAATTTGAGCTCAATTATCTCCCAAACACAAAGTTTCTTTGGAAGGAAAGTAAGGGTCAGCGCTAAATAACAATATGGAATAGAAAGAAGAACGCAGCAACCCAAAAAAGTGGATCCCTCTCAATCCTTATAAAATCTAAAACAATGTCAAAAAAGAAAAAGGAAGTGGGCTGCACATAAAATCACAATAACACACGACAATTCGTATAACAAAGTATAAAACAAAATTAAAAATGGGTAGTCTCAGCAATAATAGGCCTCACATAGAAAGGATGCCTCTAATTTAAAGCGGCACTGTCATGCCGAACTTACCTTTCCTCAATCTCTTCCTCTTCTCCCCCTCTCTCAGGAACTGTTATTCTTTTCTTCCTGTCTTCTTTAGTTTTCTTTAAAATCATAAGACAAAGTAGGGACTCTTTGCTATATGGAGGATTCCTCCGCTTGACCAGCTCTGACCAGCGGAGGAGCAAAGTGTGCTTCATTTCCGCTGGTCAGAGCAATTTTCCCATGATCCTTACCTTCCCTCTGTGTTCCCACGATGCTTCCTGTCACTTTACACTAAACTGCCGAATTGCGTTCTAACTGAATGAGAACAGTATGTTCGTTTCTTTTAGAACGCAATTCGGCATTTTATTCGGATCGGAATTTCATTCTAATGAATGAAACTCCGATCCTATTCATTGCCGCGGTTGCATCTTGCAGCCGCTTAGTAGATAACTCCCTAATTCCCACGGTATCAGGGAGCTATCTACTAAAAGGCTGAAAGACCTAAATTGGTCTTTCAGCCAACTTTACTAATACTAAGTAAAGATTACTTAGTATTAGTAAATTAAATGCCCCTACTCGCTATATCGCGAGTAGGTGCATGTGTAGTAAGCAGTGAGCAGCTTATTAAAAAAAAAACTAATAATCCCCCCCATGCCCGTGGGGGCCCTAAATAAAGATGGGGGACCTACTGTCCCCCCCTGCCCCCACCCCTGAGCGGTGGATGGGGGCCCTAAATAAAGATATGGGGGGGAACTTCTGTCCCCCCCTGGCCCCCACCCCTGCGCGGTGGGTGGGGGCACTAATAAAACAATAAGGGGGGACACCTACTGTCCTCCCCCCCTGGCCCCCACCCCTGCGCGGTGGGTGGGGGCCCTAATAAAATAATAAGGGGGGGGACCTACTGTCCTCCCCCCCTGGCCCCCACCCCTGAGCGGTGGGTGGGGGCCCTAATAAAACAATAAGAGGGGGGACCTACTGTCCTCCCCCCTGGCCCCCACCCCTGAGCGGTGGGTGGGGGCCCTAAATAAAGATATGGGGGGGAACTTCTGTCCCCCCCCGGCCCCCACCCCTGCGGTGGGGGCTAATAAACAATAAGGTGGGGGGGGACCTACTGTCCTCCCCACAGCCCCACTCCTGCTCTTGGCGGTGGGTAGGGCCCCTAATAAACAATAAGGGGGACTACTGTCCCTCCCTTATTACCCTGGCCCGGTGGGTGGGGACCTAATAAAACAATAAGGGGGACCTGTCCCCGGTATTCCCTGGCCCGGTGTGTGTGTGCCCCTAAATAAGATATGGAGGGGAACTTCTGTCCCCACCCTGCGGGTGGGTGGGGAGCCTAATAAACAATAAGGGGGACCTGTCCTCCCCACAACCCACCCCTGGCGGTGGGTGGGGGCTAATAAACTGTGGGGGACTACACTGTCACTTCCCCTGGCCCCACCCCTGGCGGTGGATGGGGGCCTAAATAAAAGATATGGGGAGACTGCCCCTATTCCCTGCGGTGGGTGGGGCCCTAATAAACTCTAATAAAGGGGGGACCATCCTCCCCCACAGCCCCCACCCCTGCTTGGCGGTGGGTGGGGGCCTAATAAACAATGAGGGGGGACCTACTGTCCTCCCCCTGGCCACCCTGGCGGTGGGTGGGGGCCTAATAAACAATATGGAGGTTCTACTGTCGCACCCCCGGCTACCCTGAGTGGTGGGTGGGGCCCTAAATAAAGATATGGGGGGGAACTTCTGTCCCCCCCCTGGCCCCTCACCCCTGCGCGGTGGGTGGGGGCCCTAATAAAACAATAAGGGGGGGGACCTACTGTCCTCCCCCCTGGCCCCCACCTCTGAGCAGTGGGTGGGGGCCCCAGTAAAACAATAAGGGGGGGGACCTACTGTCCTCCCCCCTGGCCCCCACCCCTAAGCGGTGGGTGGGGGCCCCAGTAAAACAATAAGGGGGGGGACCTACTGTCCTCCCCCCCTGGCCCCACCCCTGAGCGGTGGGTGGGGGCCCTAAATGAAACACCCCCCCAATCAAGGTGACTAGGGGTCCCAAGCCCCTAGTCACCCCCCCACCCAAAAAAAACCTATCCCCTACCTACCCCCCTCACCCTAAAAATAGTGAGTGGGGAATAAAATAACTAACCTGTAAAAAAAAAATTAAACTTACCATTTGACGTCTTCTTTTTTCTAAAATCTTCTTTCTTCAGCACCCAAAAAGGCCAAATAAAAATCCATTATACACGTCGCACTTTAAAAAAAAAAAAAAAAAAAACGAGTGCAAAAGAAAATTAATCCATGTTCGCCCTTCGAGGGCACGCCGCGGACTGAGCTCCGCAGGGCGGGTCAAGGCTTATAAAGCCTTGCCCCGCCCTGCAATTAGGCTTAGAACACTCTGATTGGTGGGTTTAAGCCAATCAGAGTGCTCTGGGTCATTTTACACAGCGTGGGAAAATTCAAAAGAACTTTCCCATGCTGTGTAAAATGACACAGAGCACTCTGATTGGTTATCCACCACTCAGAGTGTTATGAGTTATTTTACACAGCGTGGGAAAATTCAAAAGAACTTTCCCACGCTGTGTAAAATGACTCATAACACTCATAACACTCTTTTGAATTTTCCCACGCTGTGTAAAATGACTCATAACACTCTGATTGGTGGATAACCAATCAGAGTGCTCTGTGTCATTTTACACAGCGTGGTAAAATTCAAAAGAACTTTCCCACGCTGTGTAAAATGACTCATAACACTCATAACACTCTGATTTGTGGATAACCAATCAGAGTGTTATGAGTCATTTTACAAAGCGTGGGAAAGTTCTTTTGAATTTTACCACGCTGTGTAAAATGACACAGAGCACTCTGATTGGTTATCCACCAATCAGAGTGTTATGAGTCATTTTACACAGCGTGGGAAAATTCAAAAGAACTTTCCCACGCTGTGTAAAATGACACAGAGCACTCTGATTGGGTGGCTTGAAAGCCACCCAATCAGAGTGCTCTGTGTCATTTTACACAGCATGGGAAAGTTCTTTTGAATTTTCCCACGCTGTGTAAAATGACTCAGAGCACTCTGATTGGCTTAAACCCACCAATCAGAGTGTTCTAAGCCTAATTGCAGGGCGGGGCAAGGCTTTATAAGCCTTGACCCACCCTGCGGAGCTCAGTATGCGGCGTGCCTCGTTTTTTTTTTTTGTTTTTTTTTAAAGTGCGACTGGTGTAATGGATTTTTATTTGGCCTTTTTGGGGGCTGAAGAAAGAAGATTTTAGAAAAAAGAAGACGTCAAATGGTAAGTTTAATTTTTTTTTTTTTTACAGGTTAGTTATTTTATTCCCCCCTCACTATTTGTAGGGTGAGGGGGGTAGGTAGGGGATAGGTTTTTTTGGGTGGGGGGTTGGTGACTAGGGGCTTGGGACCCCTAGTCACCTTGATTGGGGGGGGGTGTTTCATTTAGGGCCCCCACCCACCGCTCAGGGGTGGGG